TTCTTTCTTTCTTTCTTTCTTTCTTTCTTTCTTTCTTTCTTTCTTTCAACTTTTATTTTGAGACCCAGTATTACCAAGTCACCTAGGCAAACCTTGTGTTTGTGATTCTTCTGTGTCAGCTTCCCTCCAAAGTACTGAGATGTGTAGGACCGCAACCCCCAGGCCCAGCTAACATGACTTTTTTTTTTTTTTAAGAGTTCTTGTACCAGTTGGGTTTTATTCACTTGACTTAAACCTGGAAAGAGGGTCTACTAATTGAGCACATGTCTCCATAACCCTGACCTGTAGACAAGTCTGCAGGGCATTTTCAAAATTAGTTATTAATGTGGGAGGGCTCAGCCCACCCTGGGCAGGTGGCCCTGAGGTCTATAAGAAAGCAGGCTGAGCAAAACATGAAGAGTAAGCAGTACCCTTCCACGGCCTCTGCCTCAGCCCTTGACTCCAGGTTCCTGACTTGAGACCCTATGTTGACTTCCCGGGATGATGGTCTCACTACAAACTGTAAGATTCAACGAACCCATTTCTCCTCAAGTTTCTTTGAACATGGTGTGTTAGCACAGCGATAGAAAGAAACCCCGACTAAGACTTTGCTTAGGAGGAAGGAGCTCCTGCCTTTCCCCATCAGCCTCAGATGGAAGAAACCAGGCAGCCAATCCAAAGTATCCTTCCAGAAGACATTCTAGTCTTGAACCTGCCCTGCCTCCCTACATGTCCAGAGATGTCCATTCCTGACATTCACACTTGGAAGAAAACTTCCTGAGTATGGAGTATGACATATTACTTAGAAATAGCAAGATACATTATACATTTCCCCCCCAAACATTTCAGTTTAAGGCTCACAAAACTAGCATTCTTCATTCTAAGGAGCCTGCTGTCCTTAGAATTACTTTTTTGTTGTTGCTAAGAAGCTGATGGTTTGCTTACCAGTCTTTCTAACTAGCAACATCGCCCTGGTTTTCTGCCAACTGGTAGCAAAGGCCCTATTTCCAGCTGCAGGTTCCATACTGAAATAAAGAAGGTGCTTGTTTGCAGAAGGATCTTGCGAACACGGTGATATCCCTTTAAATTTTTTTTAACCAACTTACAACCAAGGAACTCTGATCTCTCATTGATTGAAATGTGTAAACAGCATTTTAGAGTTTGTTTTACAGGTCCAAAGTGTTTATGTTAAAACCAACTTTCACAAGCAGGGAAGTCTGAAGAGTACATTTAAAAGAATGAAGAACTAAGGCCAGTGACATAAAAATCTGTGGACATGCACTGTCCAATAGAATGCCATTGGCCACATGTAGGTGCTGAAATTTAAGTATAACTTAATCCTGACTGCAGAAAATAGAAACTCAGTTTCTCAGTTCCCAGTGAGCATCCGGAGTGTTTGGCAGACATGGAATTGATGGATGACACAGACGTACAAAGTTCCAGGCCTCACAGCAGCTCTCTTTGACAGGCTATGATAAACACAGTGTTAAAGAATGCAATGGAAATTAATTGCCAGTTAAAGGAAAGTTTTATGCTCTTTTTAGCTTGGAAATTTTAAAGTGTTTTGAGATTCACATTTTCTTAGTGTCCATATTCTGGGATACGGCTGTTACAAGTCCTCTTTATGTATTTCCTATTAGTTTGTATAGTTACTTGTTAGGCTAGCTTTACATTCTTAATTTCTTTAGAAATGTGAAGAGGTACCCATGTCACCCTGAGCTAAGGACTAGCATGTGGATGTGACAGTTGGCTTCTTTACCTACATCATAATCATCCTTTCTGTAAGGTCTCAATTTCCTTACAGGAAGAGAGGCATAGCCTCATTTGTGTTAACTTAAATAAAGCTGATTGATATGCGTTTTTATAAATAATTTAGTGAGCCAAACAAAATCAGTTACAGGGCACGTGTTTTAGACATCTCTGGCTTTGTTTGACCTACGCGTATTACAGATAATAGTAACTTGATTTCATTTTTAATGAATATAATCAACTGCCGGTGAATGTGTTCTTAAAGTTCTTGTTCGTCCTGTTCCATTAACAAAATGTCTGTCTCAAATACATTCTAGTCATTATCCCTAGCAATGCAGTTTCATTTATTTCCTGGAATAACACAGTTGCACAAGACCAAACATTAAACACAGATTTGCCTTTCCTGTTGAAGCACAGGATTTGAAGTCAGCTGTCAACCTAGTTTTGAGAAAGGGATGTCATATCTGCTAGTCTTGCCATCACGCATTTAATAGTGTCACTTTTCAACCACAGCAGAAGTAACAGAAGCCTGGAGTCACCTTAGATTTTAAAAAATACAAATCCCAGAATGTTTTCAGTGTGGGGGGGGGCGGAAGGGGGGAATTTAGTCTCTCTGTGTGTTTCAAGTCAACTAAAGTGTTATTTGGCTTATATGGTAAATTACCTAATTTACCTTATATGGTAAATTACCTAATAATCATAGTTTGTCGATAGTAGCTTGATTTCTTTGTTAATTAATATGCCTAGATAAAACTCTGTCTGTGGACATGCTACTTATATTAATTAAGGAAGATGCTATAACAGCTCAAATTTTTGTATTTCATCAGTTTTTTTTTCTTTTCTGGTTCTGTGGTGTGTCTATCTATCTATCTATCTATCTATCTATCTATCTATCTATCTATCT